ATGCCACTTGCCTGTGGTGGCCTCTTCTGCGTTGCATTGAGCGAGCTTAGCACTTCCTGGCAGCGTAAAGCTCTCGAATCGGAACTTTTTCATTCACAAAAAGTCACTCGGCGTTGCCAGATCCGGCGAACAAAATACCAGGGCTATCGTAGCGTATACGTAATATTCAAAAGCATTTGAATCTTGATTTTTGCCAAAAATGAAATGTTGAATGTCTTCTTCAGGGTAGAAGACAGGGGTTCAATGGTTTAAATAAAGTGAATCTTTATTTTAACTCACCACATTGGCCTTTTCAAGTGTACCCACGAGTCGGATTAGATGCATCTTTTCTGCATCTAACCGATCAATTATTTTCGTACATTCTTCCATGGAGGCTTTAATTTAGCTTTTTATTACAGTAAAATATTCATCAAAAAGTTATATTTTATTTCTACACGAAGCCAGTAATCCAGATTGAAAAATATAAGTAATAAATCTTAGGAATATAGTTTTTGAAAAAGTTTCATTCTTTTACCGTCACCGTTGGTTATATTTCCAATTACATTAAAAAATCCCCGAAGCCAAGAGTTTGTTGAAAGAAAACAACGCAAACCTATTCAATTGTATGTATATTCTGTTTTTGTCTTTATTGAGTTTTTGGTTTTTTTGTTTTTATGTTGCCTGTTAAGTAGAATAGAATTATTAAAATTTGTTTATATTCGATTCGTTTTTCCTGGTTTAAACATTCCAATTACACAGATTTGAGTGTTAATTAATGGTATTGGTTTCGACTTTGATTTTGTGGTGTTTCTTTTTCTTTAATATTTTAATCTGCAGTTTAGTGGCATCAGTTAACTCTGATTGCGGGTATGGAATATAATACCCTAATACTTTTTATACTTTATCCTGGGAAGTGTTCGCTTTGTTTTCACTTTGGTAGTTATAAACAGTTTTTAGTACGTCGCTTGAAAATTCATATTTGATCAGTTTAATTACAATTCAGAGCTTAGAAGTTACAGTTCATATATATAGGATATACATATGTTAGATTCAGTTTTCCTATGGGTGAAATTTGTTTTGTTTCTTGGTTTTGATTAGGTGATAGCTTCGTTAGCTAAAGTTGTGACTGCTGCCGCTTAGCTGCACTCTCGTAATGGTAGGTAAAGCTTTGGATACTTTATATTTTGATACTCTTTATATAATGTTTAACATTGTTGCCTCGCTTAATATTAGAATATTCTGTTAAATCCTTGAAATCTGAATCGATGTCTCAGAGCGCTGTAGCTGTTTCTACTTCTTTCTTATTATTTTCGATTGGAATTTGCATTTTTCTTTTTTTTATGCATTTTCCACAACAAAAGTTGGATAAATGACAAAAAACGGGATAAAAGGTGTTTAGTGTAAATATGGCTGTTTGGTGTACAAAAGTGTTAATAGGAATACATCTGAAAACAAATATTAAGTTTTTTTGCGGTTGAATAATATTTAAAGATTTAAAATTATATACAAGAAATGTATTGGTAAAACAATCCATTCTAAATAAAAGAGAATACTTAAAGAAACATTTCCACTCTTAGTTATAAATAACTTTATACATTGTTTTATATACTAGGTGTAACATATTGGAGAATATATATATGTCCGTCCATATAGCAAGCCCTACTTTTTGCTTTTTACTCCACTTTCTATGGAAATTTTGTTATCTATGGAAAGCCTAAGACCAATATTTTCAAAAACAATCAAATGAAGACGTTATTCTTACGGTATTAAGTATTTAATTAGAACTCGGTTACTCTCGTAGACACTCAGTGCATTCCGAATGGAGGAGATTTTAGTGCAGGAACGGGCCTTCTACTTGCCTGACTTAAAGTAGGTACACACGGTTATAGGTATATTGGACATCAAGAATAACTCGCATATTCGATACACATATTGTATATATTTTAGGCTTTCTTCATTACGCTGAAATCTCATAATAGGTGGTTTCTAGTGCATACATTCAATGTATAACTCGTTAAATTCTTATCGGATTATAATTGGGTTCATTATCGGGCTTATCGGTTCGGGGAGTTTCCAGTTCCAGCGATAGTTGTCCCTGGCGACGGGTTCCTTAACAATCCGCATTCAAGTCTAGTTTTATTTTGGAGGAGGAGCATAGACGACTACGACATTTAATTTAATCAACTTGACTTTGGAGCTCAGCAATCTTTAATCGCAAATGCAAATCAGAGCAAATCCCAGTAGGGATGGGAGCCAATTGGGGTGATGACTGGAAGTGATTGAAGTAATGTGTCTGTGAAATATACTTGTCTGGCCAATCCATAAAATTCATAAAAAATAAAACGACAATTTTGGTTTGTTTTGTTTCGAGGTTTTTAAAATGTTTGTGTATTTTTTTCAAAGAAATTTTTTTTATGTTCTTGTTTGTATCGCTTGTATGATGCTTATAGATTTTCATCGTCTGTTGCTGCAATTTTTACAATATTCGTAATTATATTCATATATATAGCATTATTTATATATATTTTTGCATATATAGATATAGGCGCGAGAGTGTTTTGTTGTTTTGCCTGGTTCGATATATTGTAACTTGCTAAACACTAAGCATAATTTAACAAGATTTTTCGTTTTGCTTTTCTTTTCCATTTCTTTGACTGCCTTTTGCTATGCAAACGAAGATTCATTAATATTTATGCAAGTTTTGATTTGAAAATCGAGAAGCTCAGAGAATCCAGCCTCCAATGTCACAAGTGACGCACTTCGGCAACAAAATTTGAATTGGAAATGCACTACCATTGGGACACTCTCCAAACGGATGAAGTTTTTTCGAGCATACTTTCGAGGTCGGCGGCCAGGGTTGTCGCCTCTCGCAAGTAGCCGCTAAAGTTTACATATCTTGGTTAGATTTAAATCAATTTTTTTTATAATTAAGAAAATTCGTCTGTGTTCAATTTGCCGGCAAGTCTAAAGGTCTTTTTTCATTTTCATAGATTCATTTCTTTAAAACATTGCACAAGTTTTCGCTACAAAATGTATTATTCATTTCATTTATATTTTTTTGTTTGTTAAAAAAAGTTATAGAAAAGTGTTTGTTTATTATTAATTTTTTGTTTTTTTCGTTTTTATTATTAGCGCGAATGGTGTTTTTGTTCAAATTTTGTCGTTGCCCTTCAGAGCGTTCTGTCCAAAGTCAAGCAAACACAAAAATAATTATAAAAACTCGACTTAAGTATTATAAACGTAGAAAATACGCAAGAGTGATTTGCATACATTTTCCAATAATGTCTGTAGTTAAGTTATACTCACAGTTGATTTATGCAGTGGAGAAGAGTTAGAGTTAGCATTAGGAAAAAGATGGATGTGGTGTTTGGGATGCATGATCTGTAAGGATGGGGTTGGGTGGCGGTGATAAAGGTGGATATAGTGAGGCATGGATAGATCGGTTTAGAAGACATCACGACGCGTTCAGTTACAGTTGAGAAAAGAAAACAAAGTTTTCGATATGAAATTAAATTAAAACCAAGTACAGTTCAGTAAGATTTTGGTCGCGCAGACTTTCTGTTCTAAAATTTAACTTTTATATTTCGATAATTGTTAACTAGTAGGCAGCAGTTGGATACTGTTGGAAAAATAGATAGACAGAATAGATTGGTTGGATAATGGAGACAGAGAGCGGGGTTAAAGGTTAAAGCTTGCGGTTGCTGTGGTGCCAAGGAGTTGCAGTTGTTCTGCTTGTTGTTTTTGCTGATTTGGGCTGCTCTAACCTCAACTTAAACCGTTATGTTCGTATATTACTTTCTTTATGTTACGCTTAGTTAGAACTATCGCCTCTTGCTAAAATTTGCTTTCTTTCTGGCTTACAACATTGTCGTCTTGCATCCACTCGATTCGTCTGCTTAAATTTAAGACAATTGTCTTTGCATTTTGCTAGTTTTAATTCATATGTATAATTTATTTATAAATATATATATATTTTTTATTAATATATATAACTGTTCCGATGCTGTTGCATTTTCACATCGTCACCTTCTGCTGTTGTTATTGTAGTTCTTCTCCTATTCTTCTAGTGAAGAGTCGTCTTCCTTCGCTGGAGCCGCATCCGTTGTTGTTGCAGCTCCTTGCCGTCCATACTTCGTCCTTCCTTATATATGTGTGTGTTTGATGAAATCGTCTTCTTCCTTTTCTTCGTCCAGCTCTTCCTCCGCTTCGTCTCTCATATAAATATTTAATTTTCATATCTCTTTATAATAAAATTATGTTACTTAAGATTTTTGCTTGTTTCTTTTTTGTTTGGTTTTAAGTACATTAGGTATTTATATGTATATATTTATATATATATTTATGTATATATAGAGTTCCTTTCATATTTATATTTGTAATAGTAATATATCGGGTTACTTGTTTTGCTGCCGCTTAAGAACTAGAGAAATGTGATTTGCTGTTTGTTTTTTCTTGTGGCGTTTATGGTTGCATTGTTAAACGTTAAATTTGCTCATAAATATGTAATATCGCATTGTTTTTTTCTTTGCTTAAGTTTGCTACAAATATCGTGCCGACAAACATCAGCTGCCTATCAAGGACCTTTTGGACTGCGGTCCTGCTGGTCCTCGTACAGCCCCCAAAAATATGCCTCATCTTGTCTTCGACTATGCTGCGCGCCACATTTTTGGTTTTTAATTTAATTTTATATCGAAAATGTATTCGTAGTTGTTTCTTGTTTTTGTTTTTTTGTAATTTTTATTTGTTTTATTTTTTTCTTTATATTTATTAGTTTTAAATTTAAATATAATTTAATAAGAAGAATTTGTTGTTGTTTGATTTTACATTATTTATAATATATATATGTTGTATTTATAATATATTTTACTTCTTGTTCTGACATGTCTGTGTGGTGTATGTGTGTAAGTGGAGTGGGTGTTTGTGTGTATTTTTTGGAGAGGTGTATGAGTGTATGTGTTTGAGGAGAGTGTCTATATAAACTTTGCCAGTTTGCAAAAATTTCAAATATTTTTCATTAACAGTTTTTGTTTTATTTGTATTTTTATTTGTTGTTTTGTTTTAGCTTTTATTTTTATTCATTCTCGCAACGAAATCGACAAATTTTCTTGTTATACTTTAAACACAATTTACTAGCTTACAGATTCGGGTTTTCTAGCAATTTTCATCATAGGTAATGAAAATCGTCAAACAAAATGCAGCCGTTGCCAGCCAGACGGAGCGCCCTCTATTGGCCACTGCTGGAGGGCCCAGATGCTAGATCAGGATATTCCGCTGCAGCCGCCATTATTTTGCTTGATTCGCCTTCTGCTCGCCATTTTTGTTCTCCTTTGGGTTTATGTTTTCAGTGTAGAAGTGGTAGTAAACTTGATTTAACATGCGATTTTTGTTGTTGTTTATGGCTGCTGGTTGTTGTTGTAGTTTTAAACGGTGACTTCATTAAGTATGCTGCTTGTTGTTTTGTTGCATTAAAATTATGTTGTTTCGTTTGTTTAACCTTTTTTTCAGTTTATAATGTAATTAATTTTCTTTTTCTCTGAATCTGTTTCTTTTTCATTTCTTGCTTGTTTAAATTTTCTTGCTTTTGCGTTTTTTAAGTGTAAGTTTCATTTGTTTTTAATTTTCTTAATGTTTTTTCTTTTTTTCATCTTATCCTTCTTTATGTTGGTTGTTTTTTGCTTAACTCTTTGTTGTTGTTTTTTTGTTGTTTTTGTTTTTTTTTTTTTTAAGATCTTTTACTGGGGTCCATAGCAACAGCGTGGCGCGATGTTATTGCGCTCAGCTACAGTCTTCGTCAACATCTTAAAAAAATAGAAAGGCTTAAAAAGAAATAATTTAACGCTTCACTTCGATGTCATCATAGTCACGAATTCTGCAATAAAAAGGAAAAAAATATGAATTAGTAAAAACATAATCCATAAAAGAATCAATCAAATTGGTGAATAAAAAGCTCTTTTTTATATCCAATATTCCATTAACATATGTAATTATCTAAAGAATTTACACATCACAAATCAAGTGGCGAAAATAGCCGAGTGCTGTGCTGTCATTAACCTTCTACTAATTTAAGACGCCAATTAATCAATATCAAACGAGCATTACACCGCAACAACAATCACACCAACAACACCGAAAGCTAATCAATAAGACAAACGAGCAAGTCACGAGATGTCTGAAGAGAACGAACGCCAAGGAACACAAATTTATTGAGTGCAAAGACTCAGACAGTCAATCGCCAGAGATTATGTTCCTCTCTTGCTTTCCTCGTCCAAAAATAGAAAGCAGAGGATGCTGCGGCAGCCGGCGGCAACGGAAGCAGAATGCAATAAAGACATTGCCTTTGCCGCATTTTTTTGCAACAAAAACAAAAAAAAGGGGCAAGGCAAGGATGCTGCATCATCGAGTCAATCAATAGGTGACAATACAGAGGGGAGAAGCCAGAAGATAAAGCCCTCCCGTGCAGCGAGTGCTTGTCGGTGCATGTCTTGGTGTCCCCAATTTATCAGGTGTTTGCCTGTATCTATTTTTAAGAGGATGAAAATTCTGTGATGGTAATGCTGCTGCCGCCTCTTCTGCATCTGTTCTCGTTGATTGCACTTCTTCTTGGGCGTGTTGGGTGACTGCATTTTTTGAATATTTGAACAAGCGACAAGGAATGACTAACAGAGACAGCACTGCACTCGAGTGGGTGTTTATTTGTTTGGATTTTCCCCCCAAAAATTAATAAAATAAGTTCAATGGAATGAAGAGTCGACTACCCCCGTTTGCTTTTTTTTCCTCCTTTTACAATCCAATATAATCTAATCAGGAAACCTGTCTGGGGGCTTTGGAAACCCGCTTATCAAGCTCCTCTGGCAATTGCTATCAAACTTTTTGGGAAATTTTCCACATTTATAAGACGGTTATGCCAAGCTGCCACTCGAATTGGCCGAAAACACACCTTTTCTAATAAAACGAAAACCTTTTCGTGGCCCGCAGTAAATGCCTTCAGAATAAAACGTTATTGGCAAAGTTGGGGCAACGCCCGGAAATGGGCTAAGCTCTAGAAAAGAAAATGACCCCCACAGGGGAGCCTTGACATTTGACCAAATGTAAATGCAGCAGTTTTGATTAAATCTAGGTCCTCTAACAGCAGTCGCTTATGCCAGCCACGCCTCTCAGCTGACCACTAGGAAACACCTCCTAGAAACATACGCTTTTGGAACCAATCGAGAATTATGGAGCGTGAGCAGGATTGTAGCAGCTTTCTTCGAGGGTTCTTTTTAGATTTAAGAAAATTAAACTATTATTTAGCCTTATTGACTTGCAACTATTCCTGCTGCCTTGGCCAGTAATAAATATATATTTTCAGCCAATTTTCAAGCCCCCACTGGCCCCTCTCATTACGTCGTTTGGCGTTTTTGTGGTTCTGCTGTTTATCTTTCGTCATTTTGTTTACATTCGCGAAACTAACTTGTAGCGATCTTTTTGTATCTCTGAGGTTGTTTTATTTTTATAATTTTTCTTTTTGTTGGCTCTCACCTTCCTCACAATTCCTCATCTATGCCCTTCCCTGAGGCCCACTCTGGCAGTTTTGGAATTTGTTCATTTAATTTGTTATTCTTTATATTTTGTTAAACATTTTATTTGATTTTGGACTTGTTCTTGTTCAAGAGTACATGTAGAATCCCCAATTTTTTATCTGGCAAGAGGCCAAAGTAAGCCTCATCTCATTCCCAATATCTTTCTCTGCAGTATTCATTGTTTGCGCCATATAATTTTCACTTGCAAAATTACCAGAGAGAGTGGGCCGTGCCGGGCCGGGCCGGCAAGACAACAATAAAGACTTTGGTTAATTGGCAATAAGCAAAATGGCAACAATGCGCATTTTATATTTACGTTAATGCTGATTCTGCTGACTGAACAACCGGCCAGGCCATGCCAGGCCAGGCCAGGCCAGGGAGATTCACGCTTCTATATTCCCCGCCACTCCCTCTTTCTGCTGTGCTAGGGAAATTAAAGAATATTGCACAATATTTATATATTTTATTTTAATTGTTGTTTCCCACTGCTGCCTTGTGCCCCGGCCGGTTAATCATTTAAGAGCGGAATTTACGCGCGACATTTATTTTGGCTTTTAAAAACATTTCAATTTCGGCGTAAGGAAAGTGGCGAAAGGCATAAAAAATACTGCTGATTGGGAGCAGAAGAAAAAAAGTAAAATGAATGCCAAGTGATGTATCGCAGGCCGTATATTCTTTTTTTTTGAATATATCGTGCCGAGTGGCGAGTAGCAGGCTTGTTATCACCTGCTTTCCAAGTAGTTCTTACCAAAGAACCCACCTTTCCCCAGAACTACAATATCTGACAGTTCTAAGTGGCAACAGTGTGTTCAAGTGGCATTCCTATTCAACTAATCCCCTCTATTTTATCAATTTTTATTCGCAAAGTATACATTTTTTTTGACAGAAAATTCACTAGAACATCATCTAGATTCTAAAATCTGCCAAATGATCATTTGCTAGATTGTTTGGAAACCTTTTCGCTATTTTTATGTATTTTGTTCATAAATTACTTGTGATTAATCTATTTGATCCGAGAAATGTTTGCAGCGTTAGCCAAAAACGATTTCTATTTGAACTTGAAGACTATATGTATGGTGTACTATACGGTAGACCCCTATGTATATGTGGTATATGTAGTGGAAAATACTATTCGATTTTAATTGCTACTTTTTCCCGGTTTTTTCCCCCCAATGGCACAACAAAAGGAATTTTCTGAAGGTAGTGGGAGGAGGATATGCCTTGGAAGATGTGTTGAAAACCATGAGGATTTTTCTGGGTTTTGTGTGTGTTCTCAAATTTGTTCCAATTGTGTTTTGCTTTACATTTTTATTTTTGGAAAACTCTTATACCCTTGAAGAGAGTGTTATAGTTTTGGATCAAAAGGATCACCTACCTACAATCTGCCAATCTTTTTTAAGGTCTCTCATTTTAAAAGCTATAGACTTTTCTTTCCACCTTTTATTAAGTGTCGGAATAATCAAGATTATAATTTAAAGTTTTAAAGGTTAAAAGGTTGGGACTTTCTATGAATACCTTATCTGGTTAACTGATCCGACTCTACAAAGTGTTATTTGCACCACCATTTAGCTGCACCAAGGGTATACAGCTTTGGCTATGCCCCAAGTTAGCTTTCCTTTTTTGATGATCATGTTTTGGTTTCTCTTCCTCTGAGATCAGTGTGCTTTTGCTCCTCAATTGAAAAATCAATTTTCGAGCAATTAAAAAACTCACAAGGAACACAAAAACATGAACATTTTTCAAATAAAAACTCAAAGCACATGGCACATGGCACAGAGATATTTATTGGCAGCAAGTGAAAATAGGTATTACTTTAATGAGTCAGTGAGAGCGAGAGATGTGCTCAGACGAGAGATCATGTGAATTGGCCATATGACACAACACGGCCAAGTGCCAATTGTGACTCAAATGTAATGCCGGTGATTCAATCAGAGGGGCCAGGCCAAGCACAACCTGTGTTGTTTTGTTTTAGTTTCTTGCCAGGCCAGGTGGTGCAACAACAGACAGATCCAATTAGTGGCCAAACACGCGACCCTAATGCTCGGCAATAAATGTGAAAATAACGTAAGCGACACCCTAGACACCTTACAAAATCCAAGGTGTTCGGCATGCAAATTAGTTGTCACCGAAATAAAATGGCAAATAAAATACCCTGAAGAAGTGCCTGAAGTTTTCTCATTTTTTTGAATAAAGTATTGGAAATAAAAAGAGAGCTTTTTACGACCCGTACTGCATGTTTCAACTCACCTTCGTAATTGACCTGACCATCACCATCGATATCAGCCTCACGGATCATCTCATCGACCTCCTCGTCTGTGAGTTTCTCGCCCAGATTTGTCATCACGTGGCGCAACTCGGCCGCGGAGATGAAGCCGTTGCCGTCCTTGTCGAACACTCTGAAGGCTTCTCGGATCTCCTCTTCGCTGTCGGTGTCCTTCATTTTGCGTGCCATCATTGTAAGGAATTCTGGGAAGTCAATTGTACCATTGCCTTTGGTGGGAGGGGCGGAAAAAGAATAACAATTAATTTCGTTGCATACTTTTTTGGGTTAGGATTACGGGCCCAAGACTCCCAGACTCCCAGACTCCCGGACTCATCATCAATTTAAATTGCTCCCCGGGCGTTATAATAAATTCAAGTCAGGGATAAGGCCACCAAAGCATTTCTCTTCATTATGGCAAAGTTTGCTCATCATGGCGCGGGGTTGGCCCCGGGGCTGTGTACACTACTTAGAGCCTGCCTGCCTTTTTGGCTGTTCGCCACCTCCAACCTCCGACCTCTAGGTTTTCCCGACAAATCCCTGCCAGCTATATAGTCGAGCATATTTTTATATTTGCCTAAGCCCCAAACAAACTTTTTCGCCATCCTCCTCACGTGTATGCTGGGTGGCAGCACCTTTTCCTATATACTGTGGGAGATAAGTCCGCCTAATCCCGTTTTCTGTTAAATCATTCTCCATCTCAGATCTCAGATCTCGGCCAAGTGGAATGAAAATTTGTTAAAGAATTTATACAAATACTTTCTCGAAAAGAAGTGGTTGGTTTAAACGAAATTCTTGTTATACTAATTGAAAAAGTTTCGAGTTTAAAGTTGAGAACTATTCCTCTTATTGGGGGTGCTTACGGCTTACGTAAAAAGCAGTAAGAACTTTTGGCCTTAATTGTTATTGACTGACTTTTTCGAGCCACCATCTCGGCCAGGCATCGCAGCGAGCAAGGAAACACAGATCCTTTTGTCCATAAAAGTGTTTTTTTTTGCAGTTTGCCGGCTCATGGTCCTACCCTCAAAACCAAATGGAGCGTGCTTCATTCTGGCCATCATTTTGTTTCTTGTGAATTGAATGTGCTTTTTATTACTTTGCTTGAAATGGGTTTTCCCTCTCCCCCACCCGCCCCTCAAAAGAGAAAACTTTCCATATATGATTGCTTCAAAAATAAACACACAGACAGACAGGAGCAGTTCATGCTCGTATGAACTCTAGTTTCAAATGTTTTCCCAACAGCCATTTAGATTTAATGGCCAAGATGGGTTACTATTGTAGGCCCTCGGTCCCAAGATACCGAAAAGTTGAGCTAATAGTCTCAAAGATTTTTCAAAAACAAATAAATAATTTAAAAACTCAACACTCAATAGATCTCGATTCGATTCCAGAAAACAAAAACCTAATTGTACTTTTTGGCTAATATAATGGTTATTATTCAATATGCTGGCCATTTGGCCATCGAGGGCCAAGAATATTTTTATTTTCAAATAAATATCGACGGGTGGCTGTAGTTTATTTCGATTTTTGGTTTGGTTGCTTGTTGTCTTGCCTCCGTTTCTGTTTATGATTCTATTTAAAACATTTGACGCGATTTTCTGTTGCTTTTGGCTTTGTCGATAGGATTTCCCCCAAAAACCGAGAAAAAAAAACAAAATAGATCTGAATACCAAAATACCGCCACCGCCGCCTCACGAATCATTCAGAAAATTTGTTGCCATTTTTGTTAGACGCTTCTTAGACTGGTCCCGAACAACTACTTTGACGAACCCGTCCGTGAAGCTTCATAATCATGTTCGTAGGATCGTTGGTAATCATGAAGATGGCCCCGTGTCTGGCGGGGTTCTTGGTTTCCATTACGGCTCCCGCCACCATTCGGCCCATGTCCCCCCTCGATGTTCAGCGATTCGCAACGTTTCGTTCAAAATTTTGCAGACAATTTAAAATTTTAATAAGAATTCTAATTTTTTTTTTGTTTTTTTGCTTTGCTGCCTCTGAATGCTAAATTTAGTGTGAGGAGCATCTTCCATGTCTTCTTATAAATACAGTAGAACCTTGAAGATGAAGTTTCTTGGGGGTTTTCGGGTTTGGAAGAGTCTAGAGAGGTGGGTGGATAGTCTTAAGAGTCCTCTTAGACCTTAATTATTATTGATTTTCATTTTATCAAGTTGCAATTGTAATGCTGGTATTCCCAACCGAATAATTGCGGTCATTTGCATTCAGTTCGGGCCGGGCCATCGCCGTCGCCAGCAAAATGTTAAGTAATGAATGTTTAATGTTTCCGTCAGATTTTTATTCCGCCCGCCGCGGCAGCAACGTGAGTGGGACATGTGAGTGGGTGACAGCCTGCAGTCAGTGCATTCTGGCCATCATAAATTAAAGCCAACAAAGAGGAGCTATTTGAAACAAACTGGAAACTTTTCGACACACATATGCATCCAAATGCCAGGCGAATAAAGTTGCAAACTGCTGGAGACTCCCAAGTGGCGACCTCGTATTCCTAGTTCGCCCCCCACCACCATTTGCAAAACTATTTTTAGCTCTGATAAGCAGTTAGTCGAGGGTCCTTTGGACCACCCTCCCGCCCAGCCTCCTCCCCACTTTTAAAGGCGCCTGCGCCTGACTGAGTGTGCAGGATTTTGCAGATTTCGTCCTGGATATTTTCGACAACACTTGCGCACTTAAAATCCACGTGCAAGCGCAACAGCAGCAGTAACTATGTGCTGCGGAGGGAAGGGATTCAGAAGGCCCAGCCAGAAAAGGATATAGGGCGGGGACGCTGCCTACAAAAGTTATGAAAGAATAAACTTTCCTACAGCTACTGGGGACTTGTTACGCTTTTCCAAGGATACCAAAGGGAGTTTCCTATTCAATTTGTATAGAGGTCTATTCCCACACAATCTCGCTATATAGCTTTTGAGAAAATATATAGAACGAGGCATTTCTAAAACAATTTGTGGCGCGCGGCGCCTGTCGCCCGATTTCCCCTCAATTCAGAAATAAAATTGATTTTTATTCCCGACCGAAAAATTTGTTTTCGTCTGATGTTACACTTAGAACTTGTCCCGGACTCTGGGCTGACCGAACAACCACCTTTTGTCCGAAAAATAAATATTAAACACATTAGAGAATGAAAAAAATTCTGACAGCAACGGCTGCCAAAGACACGACACGAAAAAGAGCCAAAATATTTGAGACGTCTATTTTTAATGCCTATGACGTGTTTTTGTTTCATATTTTTAGCCAAGAAATGATTTTCATTTTTTGTTTCTTGTTTCCGAATGTGTTTCGAGCCCATTGTTGTTTGTCGCCGAGAACATTGGTCTGATCTATGTCTGTCTAGCGGTGAGAGAACGTCCACACGAATGAGAGGGATTAGGCTCAGAATAGCAATAAGATTGGGGTCTAAAGGGGTTATAACCAGTTCTAGCAATGCACTGCCCAGGAGTCTTCGGAGGGAGGCCCTGCAATGCCACTTTGTTACTTACCGTCGGCATCGACCTCGTTTATCATGTCCTGCAGCTCTGCCTCTGTGGGATTCTGGCCCAGGGAGCGCATGACCGTTCCCAACTCCTTTGTTGTGATGGTGCCATCGCCGTCTTTGTCGAATAGCGAGAATGCCTCTTTGAACTCGGCGATCTGTTCCTCTGTCAGCTGATCGGCCTGCAAACGGAAAACACATTTTAGATCAGCTATTCAAAATTTTAAGAATATTTTTAAAAAAGTCAGTACCATTTTAAATTCAGTATACTGTCCAACGGTATACAAAATAAATATAATACACCTACTACCTAACGTTCAATGTCGAAACCGGGTTTGTGAAATACTTTTCAACGACGTCTCGATCTCGATCCCGAACTCGATGCCATTTCAATGTCAACATGGAAAACTACCCAAGAATACAATTGGGAATAACAAAAGACTGGAAAAAGGAGAACAATTGTGTTTAATTTGAATAATTTTGCGTATTGTTTGTACGCCAGAGTGCCAGAGCACGTTCAGATACAATTGTATCTGTATCTATGCACCGGTATCTTTCGGAAGAGGTGTTAAGTTTCCGCTGAACCAACAGAAACTTGACGTCAGCGACTAAATAAACACAAGAAGCCCGTCCAGGGAGACGAAGACGATACCCAACACCATTTCGATTTTTTTTTGCTGTTTTTTATGGTTTGACAGGCGACGTGCGAGTCGTCAGTCTTGGGAGCCGCAAAACCTAGCCGAAAAAAGGAAAAACTCTATGAAAAAAACAGGTGTATAACCTGGCTTTCCAGCGATACTACACAAGGCCTGTTTCGACTGCATATCGGGGCAGTAATTATTATTAATCACGAGCAAAACTGCCTGATAATGGCTTGGTGTATAAGTACAAACTATTAAAGTCATTTCATGATCCCCGGGCATTAAATCATTGGCTTTAGTTTATAAATACCTCAGGGCAGGGCAATTGAAACTTAAAGGTTGCCAACTACATAAAGCATACTTTCCCAATGCAGATATCTAATCATTTATGGAAGCCCTAATCGGGGCTGCGACATGTTGGTCAACCTTTATAGACAACTTCCGTTGGCAGAGGTAAGCCGGCCAAAGCAAGTAGGTTGGAAGCAAATCAGCAATTGGCATTGGAATTATAGCGCCCCACCGCCGAACCGCCTAACCCTTATCTAATCGCATAATTTTGGTAAATTTAAACAGCAAATACGAGTAGGACGGGTTGGTAGTACTGTTTGGGCCACAATTTGTCGCGTTGGCGTTGGTTCAATTGAATTTGCTCAGCTTATCGCTGCAGATAAAGCGGGTGGGGTTATGTCATTGGCGACCGTGACTAAGCTACTAGCAACACCCACCGAAAAAGCCCCCACAGATCCCGCGAGTCGATCCAAAAAGGCTGATTGGAAGTGCTCTCTCTTTAAATGGCGACAAATGCAAACAGCAATAACAACAACAGATCCATTAATGGCTAATCGAGGGGAGTGGGTAGGTGGGTGGGTGGTGGTTAATGCCTAATTGGTAAGCCATTAGTATGCGCAATCAGCCACCCTACAGACATCACGGGGTGGTGTCAGGGGTAATACTTCAGGCAGGCTTTAAGAATATTCGTATCAGACCTCAGGACTCCTACAGAGACTCTTTCTGATATATTTATTTTATTTTTTATATGTGAGTCATGTATGGTATCTTATGACCTCACCATTTCTGACAAAACAGCAAACTTTCCACAAACACACAACTCTTGAAAAAGATAACAAAAGAAGTACTGCAATAAAAACTCTATAAAGGGAGTTTCTTCTCGAAACTGGGTATAATATGATCTATTCGACTGTTATTTGAAATTCCAAACTGGTCGGAATTGTAAAGTTTGTGTTATGGCCAGGTTTGCCGGCTTACCGTTGATATGTCTACACAACATTTCGCCGGTGGCAACCGGTTTGGTTGGGTTAAGGTTGGTTTTATGAATGGCTTTTGGCTACAACTTCAGCGCGAAAGGAACTGTAGATCCAAACCGCTGTGCTAAATGAGCAATAAGCTCAGATCATCAAAGCTATTCATCATACACCACATGTTTGATGTATGGTCGATGAAGTCAGACTAAGAATGACTCACATTTGATTTCTATTTGATATTTCGATAAAAAGATTCACTCCGGAAGTACACAAAAGTCGGAAGATCAGTTACCGATTCAAATTGTTTGCTTGTTTGGGCCAAGTTAGCAACAAAAGCTGAATCAGAGAAACAAATTGGGCACGTAGAACGATTTATTTTAATTAAAAGCTGTTTGCATTCTGCGTGAGCTGTAAAAATCGCTAATTAAATTAAGCGACGCCAGATGAGACCCGAGAAAGGGGGCGGGCAAGGAATGTCAAGTAGATGATGAAGAAGATGGGGCTTATGGGTGGTGGCAGGAGGCAGAAGAGTCGAGGCTTCTTATCAAAAAGCACAAAGGCAGAAAGCCAAATAGAAGAAACGGCATAAAGCGGACGCCGAAGAAGGCGACAAGAAAATTGGATTATGTGGTTAAGCGGCGTCTAGCAGGAATTTTTCTTCATTTGCAGCCGCCCCTCTTTCGGGCATTTCCCCATCTCCTCGTCCCCCCGGCCCCCATTTGGGCCCCCAACCGTTCGCCTGTTCCGTTACAATAAAATTCTTGTGCGAAAAGGCAAAGTGGAACAGGCAGCCGCCAACACACACACACACACGCACGCACACACTCTCGCCGAAACGCACGAACATGGGGAGCCGAACGAAGACGAAGGCGAAACAGCAAAATAACCGCAATGCGGCAAATGAAACGGTTATGGAAGAAAACAACAAAAGGCAGTCGCCGATAAAAGTGCCAAACGCGAAACACACATTCGAAAAGAAACGGTAAGAGAGTGAGAGAAGGCGAAACTGTGTGAAACGGTTCAGAGCGAAACGGTTTAACTGAGCGCTGCGCAACCAAACGCAGAGAGCCTATAAAAAAGAGAGAGCAAGAGAGAGACATTCCGCGAAAAGAATTTTTTCAGGGCGACTCTAACCTCACTTTTTGCGGCCAAATATGCGGTAAATAAAAAATACAATCAGAAAGCGTAAATAGACGAACAGCTAGCCAAAAGGGAGAAGGCGAAGACCCGGCGATTCTGTTGTTCATCAATATTCACACATTTTCCACTGATAAGCCACAAAATGAAGACCGGAGAGGTGAACTGTCAGAGAGAGGAGGGGTGTTGGGGCTTGTGCCGGGGGACCGCTTAGGGTCCCTAAGAGCATTTTCTATAATTTTCAGGGATCTTGAAAAATGGCTGATAAAAGTGGCGATGGCAACGCGTGTGCCACACATAATGCTCAACAAATTTGGCGAAAACACATTTGATTTATGACTGCACACCGAAAAATTCCCTTGGGAGCCAGTGATGAGGTGAGACCAACCGAGGTGAAAGGGGAATGGTTTGAAAGGTGTCCGCTTGAGATGCTGATAAGAATTTCCACATTTTCACGCCTGATTGGATTTCGTAGAGGGTTGGGTTGGATGATTCCACGAGCGTCATCAAATTAATAATACATATATGGCGTCGACCTGATCGAGAGTTAATATTTCGCGTGTGCGCCAGCCTTGGAAAAATTATTTTGACGAGTGACGTGACATGTGTGTAAATTCTTGCTATTGACATTGGCCATTTAATTGTACTGCTTACTTTTTTTTCAACCCAACCTCTCGGTTAAAGTTCAAACACATCGATAAGGGTGTGAGTTGTGTTCTTGTTTCTTATTATACGTGTATGTATTTTTTAAAATCATATAAACCTGTTTTTTTTTTTTAATTCTCGCCCCAGGAGTATATTTTTGGGGTGCAAAATGTAAACGAAAAATTTTCGGGGACAGCTGCTTTTCGACGGGGTGTTATATGCCTAAGTGTGTGTGTGTATGTGTGGAAAGCCGTTAAAACCATATAAACAACATCTAATTGGGAAGCCGCCCCAAATGCCCACCAAATGCTCTCGCTCGCTCTAATGGTAATTACCCTGGGGGTCGCTGGCTGACTTTGATTTTTCGCAAAAACTGTGTGGAAATTTCAATGGAAATCGGCCCGGCCACACGTTGTATAAACAGAAATAAAGATGCACATGTTTTTCAGCAGCCAGAAGAAGAATATCTCCATAAACTTACCATTTTTGTAGGTGTTTTTTCTGTTGTTTTAGCTAGGTGACGAAGTTTAATCCGCTGCTACTGCTGCTGGTATGTGTGAGTGGAATTACGGAACGCGCGTTAAACTTAATATTTTACTAATTAACACACTGCAAAGATGAAGAAGAAGATTGGGGTATTGGGTGAACTGGGATTTCTTTATTTTTTAATTTTTTCTTGGGGTGTTGTACTAAGGAAAAAGACAAAACTGCCAGCTCGGAAAAAGAGCGTCTCTTGGCGAATCGGTACAAAAAATATGACAAAGCAACAGCAGGGTCGCCGGACATAGCGGCAGACGCTTTTTTTCCTCGCCGTGGCAGTTTCTTGAATTCTGTGTTTTTGTTGCTGGCCGAATTTAAAACAAATTTTCGCCTTGCGTTTCTTTCTTTTTTGTGGCTTTCATTTGGTTTTTTTTTTTTGTATTTTTTTTCATCTATTGTGCGAAATATGCCAAACACACGCGCGCACACGGCAGAATTCTCGTTTATATAGTAGATATGTGGCGAGGAGAGCTAATATATATGAGTCGCTCGGATTCGGATTTTATACAGATTTTTGTTTCATTTCTTTTTTTTTCTTTTTGCTCGTTTTAATATATTTTAGCGTTGTGGATTTTTTTTCTTTCTTATTTTTTTCGGTACTGCAATATATGGCTTTTTCGCGGAATTCGGCGAGGCAGCTCCTGCTCCTGGGTGTTCTTGTTGTATTCCTACCATATGTAAGATTTAAAAACTAAAAGCTATGCGCTGGCACCTTTATTCCGTAACGGTCGAGAAAAATTTTAAATTTTCCGAGTGTGATTTTGCTTTTATACCGTGGCTCTCTTTTGCTGTTCGCGAAGCAGCGCTCACAGCGAGAGAAAGCAGAGAGATTGTCATGGTCTTTGCCCTCTTTTCGCTCTCTCTGCGTTCGTTCGTTTTTATCACTCCGAGTACTGATTGTACCCTATATAACAGTCTTATCATATAAGCCCGAATTTGGTATTCCCGGTTAAAAGATGATTATGATAAGTGTTGATAAATTTCAAAATGGGACTATTTTGCAATGACATTTTTAGACAGCCAATGAAATGTACAAAGAATGACAAAATGTGATGTTTTCAGCTGTATTACATGCATAGTTTTAAAAAAAATATATATGTCTAATCGCTATTTATATTTATTTTTATTTTATTTTTAAGCTTATCATTAACAATCCTAGGAATCCATAAAGAGTATTAATTCGTCACTTGGTATTAGAACATTTCTGTGGGTTAACATTCTGCTTCGTTTTATATGGCAAGAGAGCCAACCGGGCGAAACGGGAACGTCTCTCTCTGTTTCGGCTATGTTAACTGGAGGCTCCTATGTTAAAGTGATGTTATTAATAAAATATTATCTTACGAATTTTAAAGGTTAAAAATATAATAAATTCAGTGGTTTTTGGTATTATATATGTATATATGTAGAAAAAAAATGTGCCTTTAAATGGTTCTTGGAGTCGCTTAGAAACTATTTACATACATATTTAAAAACCTACGATCGTTGGGTTGCGCAGGCGCAGTGTTATAAAACGTTGAAAGACCGTCAGAGCTTAGGTGCATCATAATAAACCAAATTTTTGATAAATTGTCCCTTTAATATTAAAAATCAAAAAAATAAAACAAATATTACTTTGATTTATGCGCTAAATTTTTCGTCAATATGTTATTCCTCTTCCTCTTCTTCTTGTTGACTCTTTTTTTCTTGACCTTTCTTACTAGGCTGCTTTTCGTTCGAAAAGCTGGATAAGCTGGCGTGGAGCAATCGCTTGGTGCTATAAAGATCACCACTGCTGGCCCTCGGATCCCGCTTCCGTCCCGCAGCGTCAATGAGACTGCGGGTGGTAATATAGGATGACGGCCTCCGTTTCTCTCCACGGGCCTGCGCTTCCTCGCGCTCAATGTCGCGTCTCTCGGCCAGGGATAGACGAGCTGTGCGCATCCTCCTCTTCACCTCTTCTTCCTGGAAATCGCTGTCGTCAAAGGCGGTGTCCGCCACCGGATGCTGGGCCATGCCCTTTCTCATGTAGTTTTCCAGTTCCTCGTCGGTCATGTTTTTGGTCTTGATTAGCTCGGTGAAGGCCATCTTGGCTTCCAACTGCTTGGCCTGCGATCGTTTCAGTCGGTAAAAGTCCTCGCGCTCAAACTCCTCCAACTCGCCCTGGATGTAGTTGTAGGTGTTTTGCAGAATGGGTATCACCACGTGCTCTAGGGCATTAACTCTCATGTTGGTCTGACGCGAGGCAGCCTCCAGCATGCGAATCTGGTATTCTAAGGAGGCCACTTGGGTCAAGCTTTTCAGAGCTTCCAAATAGGCTTCACGAATCCGGTTAACCTGTATTCCTCCGCAGCTGAGTCCTGCCAGGGGAAAGGCACCTCCGCCCTTGGACTCCAGTTCGAGAACGTTTATGGTCACGCCCACGATTTTCTGTTGAGTGCGACGAAGATATGTGGTTGCCACCCTGCTTGAGCCCACCATTTGTGGCTTGAAGTCGGTGCCCAGGAGATTGGCCTTCGCCATTGAGAATATCGCCTCCCGAATGCTGTCGTCCGCCAGCTCATCCATGTCACCAAAGTTCTTTTTCAGATCCCGGAGCTTCATGTCGATGGCGTCGCGTTTTCGCTTCAAAAGGTTCACTCCTCGCTTTCCGGCTGCCACGCGATGCTTCATGAGCACCGAGTTGGCGCGCGAGGGAAAGATTGGCAGGATATCACGTTTGGCCATGGCAAAGGCGGTTTTAGAATTTCGGGATTAGGCCAAAAGTCAGGAAAAACTGACGTAACTACAATTTTGAGAATTTTGTATTGTGTTGAACAATTTGTTCTGAACTTTCAGAGTTTGTTGACAGTTCATTTCAGTAGTTTTAAGTTAAATTTAGATATTTTAATAAATTAATTAATTATTAAATAGAAAGGCTTCTGCTTAACATGAATTTATTTCCTTCGTCAACTACATACATACATGGACGACCATGTTTATCACCGGCCATGTGGCTTGGGAAATTAATTCATTAGGCAACACTGGATCTATACAGTCTTTCGTTTTATGGCCAGTTAACTAGTCAAATATTTTAATATAATATTAAATAAACAAAATAGAAAAGTTAAATGTCCTAAGCTTAGTTGCATAATAAAAGAAATATATAGACTGTTTAGTGTTTTGTGCTTCATTTGTAGATGGGAAACTTTTATCGTTGGACAGCACTGGACCTTACTTCCGGCCCCTTTGGGGATGCGTGCGGCCATTACAATGCCGAATATACGAACTTGGTGCGCTGGCGGCCATTCCACTGGGGATGGCCACATTGGACATTGGCCATTGGACGGCGGTTTTGCGCATTTTCCAGCTGCTGTGCGATGTTCACTGTGCGCTTTCCTTTGCCGCAGCGAATTGTCGCAATGTGGCGCCGCTTGGTGCAACGCAGCCTTGGCGCATTTCACATTTGCAACGCATGCCAACAAGTTAAGTATGTTAACCTCTGGAAAATTAGACATGCCAAAAGTGATGGCCCCGGGGGAGGAGGAGGGGGAGCGGGAATTGGTGCGGGTGTGGGGAGGGGAGGGGTCTAGGTAACGAAAACGAAAATGAAGTAACAATGCAGCAAACATCGGGCCAGGCCAAAAGGGCGTTGTAGTTGTCGTTGTCGTTGTCGCTGGCGACGACAGCAATGCGCCATTTTTCGTTCTCCCCGCAAGACATGAAAATTCGGCTCGTCCTCTGTCTTTTCTCCCCTCATTCTTCCTCTTTTTATGCCAGTGAGTGTATGTGTGTGTGTGTGTTGGGTAAACATTTTCTCTCTTGGATTTTCGCAATCGCAGAGGAAGCCCTACCAAGCCGCCCTCGCCACCGGCCCACCCCTTGCACCACTTCCATGCGTTTGTTCAAAATTTATCGCAATTCGATAAGAAATCAAATGACATTTCGTTAGATTCCAACTTTTGGAAATGACTTTGTAGTTGATTAGCTGTATCTGATAAGCTTTATTTTTGTTAAATGTGTCTCCTTTGTATTTTTAATTGGTTTATCCTTTTAAGGCTAGTTAAACCGTTGGCTTTCTCTTCTGCAGGACAATCTGTTTGTCCTCGTTTTGGCAGTAAAAACAAATGTGTATTCCGGATAAATGCTAAGTAAATAACACATAATTGCAAGTAAACATTTACATTTGCTCCAACGGGAGTATTCATTTGCATATAGGAATGAATGAGTCTAAAGCCCAACAAAATGTGCTACAAAAACTAACAAGTCAGTCTTTTTGTTGAAACTCTTTATTATTGTTGGTAACTCTACAAATGTACAGTTAAGTACAAACTAAAAATACAAATGTAGAGGTGTGTGTAAACTAGAGAAGATTCACTATTTCCCCTTCTTGCCCTTCTTGGCCATTCGCTTGTTCTTCTTCCGCTGCTCCTTCTTCCATTTGCGCCAATATTTCTGGATCTTGGCCGCCGCCCGGTTCATCATGAAAATCACCAGTTTCTGCTGCTGGACACGACGCTCCTCTTCCTCTCGCTTCACCACCACGGCCTTGTAGACGCGCTCCTCCTGGCGGTATAGGACCATGAATTCGTCGAGGGCCTTCTTGGCTTCCAAGTACTGGTCCTCCTGCTCTATGTTCTCACGCATCTTCTCGCCCAGGCTCACATCATACTTCTTAAGTATACTTTGAAGTTGCAAAAGAAGCTTGTTTCTGTGGTGTTTTAAAAATTAACAAAAAAAATAAAAATTGTATAAAATATAAGATTTTTTTATACTTTTCACTTCTCAATTCCATCTCTTCACGCAGATGCTTGTGGGTCATCTTTTCGTAGGCCTCCCGGGCGGCGTTCAGCTCTTCCTCCAGCTCCTTTTGTCGGTCCAGGCTTCCCTTGTGGTAGATTCTCATGGTCCTGTTGCACTTTTCACTGGAGGAATAAAATACTGAAATTCTTTTTTAAATAAAGTTTTTTATAACTTACATTTCGTTCTGAATAGCCACATTATTTTGCCACTTCTTGTTGGCCAAGTCCTCTTCTACCTTCATCAAGTAGATGCCTTTGGCGGCCGTCTTCCACTTTCCAATAACCTTCTGAAAGGCCAGACTGGCCTTAAGCTCCTTGATTTTCTTCTGAATATCGACGTTTTGATGGTAGATGGCATGCAGCTTTCTTTCCTTGGTAATCTCGCTTCGGGAGGATCGATGGAGGTGCATGTGGGCGCTTTCCAGGAGAAAGTGGAAGGCAGCTAGCAGCTGGCGATCGCGATCCTCCAGCGAGCGCATCAGATGCGGAAAGAACCGATGGATGCGGTGATTCACCAGAAAGAAGTCCACGATCCGCATGGTGGTGTGATCGTGTGGCAGCTTAGAGCGTCCTGTCTGCTTGCCGAGGTATTGGATCATGTTGTCGATGGGTTCGAGGACTTCCTCATACCGAGTGCCCTTCAGCACACGCTTGAGCTCCTCGGGATTCTCCAAGAGTTTCGGAATGATCATTGCAATCTTTATGCGCTCCATGGACATCTGGAGCATTCGCTCCACCCCCTCCAATCTCACCAGACGTTCGGCAGTTTTATCTGAAGGGATCTATTACTCTCTATTATTATCTTCGAATCTGAGCTGGACTTACCCATTTTGTATTGCAGTTTTCACAGATCTTGAAAGATTCGATTTTTTTTCCCCTTAAAGGATCTAAATATTATGTATTTCCATTAGTTAGTTTAGAATTTTATTTAATCGTAAAGGTTTTTTCTTGTTTTGAAGATGTTTGTGTAAAGAGGTTTGGAATTGCCCTAAATAAACGCTCAAAATCAAAGTCTTGTAGTATTCACTTGGAGTGTTTTTGAAATGGTTTTCTTTTTATATGTTTTTCAGTATCTTTGTGTCAAAGTGCTACTGTGTTCTGAGCCTATTTTGTTTGTGTTTTTAATACCGCAACAAAATTGGTTACTTTGTTTACAAAAGTTGCCTGGTAACACGATGGAACGTGTGGAATTGAACACATCCCGATCAAGGACCAAGTTTTCCCAGTCATAAACAAAGAGGTATATTTTCCTTTTTTTGGGAAGGGCCCGCCCAAGTTTTGAATGGTACTTTCATGGCATTGCCTGCTAAAAACTTTCGCCAAGTGCAGCCGTCGACAATAGTGGTGGGCGGTGGGAGGTTGGGTGGTTGGGTGGCGGTTGAGTGGCCATGTCGCATTATGTCAACTGGTGTGGCATGAATGAAATCTGCAGCAGCAATACAAACGTAGAAACAGTCCTGCAGGTGGAGGTAGAAGGCTGGAAGAGCAGCAACTACTTGAAAAAAGAAAACCATGAGAGCATGAAACGAACTTATGAATGCAGAACAATAATCCTGAGGCTGTGAGGGTGGTGGTAGAAGCTCCTCGTTCAGGCGGAAAATCTAACTAATGAAAATAGCTTGAAACAAATAACCAAAAAAGTAGGCAATAGCCCGTGTACCAAATACTTGCGAATATCACATATACGCAATGTTGTACTGTGAATAAGTAGTGATATTTGGTTTTATTTTAAAAATCTCATATGGTAACAATTATTATTTAATTTAATTAAAAATCCCATTTTTAATTTAAATTTTATTTCTTTACAGATTCCATTCCCATTCACACTCCATTTCCATGACGTTTCCTCTCTTTCCACCTTTCCTTTCAATTTTCCCGGGTGAAAACGCAACAAGTAAGAAGAAGCATCTGCCAAAGCAGCGAGGCCAACAGTTTCCAGACCAGCAGGGCAACAAGGATAACAAAAACAACAACAACACCAACGAAGGTAGCGATGACAAAAATGAATGGCGAACATTTGCTGAAAACGTCGCAACCCCCTTCTGCCTCGACTCTCCCTCACTCTCTCTTGGCCATCTTGCTCATACATACTCGTGAAAAAAAATATGCTCACTTGTCTGCGTAAAATGCTGCAATGCGAACCAGTGGGAACAAAAAAAAAAAGAAACCAAGAACCAGAAAGGAAAATAAAATTGAGAAAGAAATAATATTTGTTGTTGCTGATGGCTGGTAAGAAAAACGATGAACGATAGATGAGCCAACTAGCCAAAATGAGAGATAGAGAGAGCAGGAGGCCAGAATGAAAAGTCAAAAGAAATGACGCATAAGCGTGGCTGGGAGAGTAAATAGGAGAGCGTCTCAAAGGACTGTATGCAGCAAAATGGCTTCTGCAAGGCGAGAGGCCAAGCTAAAGAGAGAGTGCGCCTGAGAGTATGCAGCATTATGAGCTAAGGCCACTGCTCCCTCACATACGTAACAGATGGCCATGTAAAGCGCCACCGCAGAACCACGCTAATGGTACTGCAAAGAAGGAGCAGGCCAAAAGCCAAAGCCCTAACGTAGCTCTCTCATTTAGCTCACTTCGTTGTTGCTCTCTGGTGGCCCATATTCGCTCAGCTGAGCCCGAGCTAAGCCGAGCTGCATGCTTTTACCGTTAACCGCTTGGTGCTCGCCATTTACCGGTTCGGGCCGTCTGGCCCTGGCTCATTATGTTCCGTTGCCTTGGTTGTATATTTTTATAGTCCTCACTTGACTTTGTTTTTTTTTTTTGCTTCTACTACTGCTGCTGCTACTTCTCGTTTACCTTCTCCTTGTACATACCTCTTGGGTTCTAGCCTTCTATCTACATTTAACAGAAAAATGTCGGCCCGTTATGCTTGGCTTGGCCGCATTGCAGCTATAAATTTGTTTGTGGTTCACATTTGCCTTGGAAGATTACTTTTGGGCATAGTCGCAGCTCTAAAAGGAGAAGGGAAAGGAAAGCAATGTGGAAAGGAGGAGGGGAGCAGATGAACAAGAGAATACCACGGAACAATGGACTCAAGGAAAGGGAAACGAGAAACAAGAAACAACGACAAACTAACTGTTTTAATGGGTGGGTGGATGGTACATGGTGTATGGTGGATGGAATGGGGCGGAAACCCCATAAAGAACCTTTCTGAGAAAGTGTTATTATAATGCTCGGTCTGCCAACGGGAAGGTCAGGCTATTGGGTCTCGCCAGCGGAAACTAAAGATATGAATGCTCATGGGTTTTCCTTTTGAAATGGCAAGGGTTTTTCACGATAAAATACAGATTAAGACGCAAAGCAAGAGCCTTGGAGGGAAAAACAGGCGTTTCTTTTCTTTAATTTAAGAACCAGGAGGATTTTTTTGATAATAAAGGATTTCTGGTTAGTCTAAATTATGCAATTCCTAGGAAACCGTGTTATCTCAAAATGGGAAACGGGTCGTATGAGTTATATTACTTGATTTTATAGTTATATTGTATTTATACTGCTCTAAATATCCTTTAAAATTGTATATCCAGGTTAAAGTACATACATATTAAAGAAAAAAAGGATACCTTTTATTTGTATAAATTGTACGGTTATTTGTATAAATTAGGTAGCTAAAAATCCTAACTTTCATGTAAGTATCCTTATGAGAGTGCTTTCCTCGATAGAAAAATAGGCGATAGCCGGAAAATTCCTCTCCGGAGAACAGTTATAGTTTCCTTTTCCACGATTCACTTGTTCTCGGAAAGCATTCAGCATTGCCGGCCAGGATCCATTTCGCCAGGCACCTGCCTTTGTCACCTGAGCAAGGACGAGAGGAAGCGCTCACATTTGGAAATGAAGTGGTGCCCAGCTTGATTCCTTGCCCATTGAATCTACCGCCCACCTGGACAAGCTTCTACTGAATTTTTCATGGCCTTTTCTCATTTTTTTTCTGTTTTTTTGGACAATATTTTTTTTGTCCTTAGTGGAGAAGGTTTTGTTTCTTGCCTCGTTTCCGTTTGGCAGTTACACTTTGGACTTTAGTTTTTGGCTTGTTCGGAGGCAGTCTGGCATGTATTCTGAGTTGGTAATGTTGGGAGGTTTTTTTAGACCAACTTGCACTCAAGTTGCCCCGAGAACTTTTGGCTTTGGCTTCCGTTTGGTTTGACTTGCCAACCTTCTCTGTAATTTGAATTTTTTGGACTGTGAAGCGAGTGACAGAACAAAATGTCGTGAAGGCAGTGGAAAGAGTTAACTTGGCTAATAAAGTGAAGCCATCCAGGTTCCTGCACAACTTCTCCTCTTCAAATTTTATGCTATTAGAAAAGTTTTAGTTCCTCTGGGTGCACATTTTTTCATCCTACTTTTTATCCTTTATTCTTTTTGTTTTTGGGTTAATTTAATAAACTAGCAAAAGTTACAAGATTTAACTTTTGTTACGCTTGGCAACAAACGAAATTGAAATTCTCTCAGCAATCCTACATATTTTTAGGATTTCCATTCTGGGTTTCCCTATAATACAATTAAATGCAGTTCGGATAAAGCTTTAATGGTTTCGAGAAAATATTTATTCCATTGTCGTAAATTTTCCGTCTAGGTTGTACATTTTCGTCACGAGTTTTGCTGGCTAGAGCTTCGGTTCAATTTCAGGTTGTTGGCTACTTAATTGTAACACAGTCGGAATATTTTATTTCATCTGTATAGGAGCACGTGCTGACTATCAGTCGGCTAGGATCATCTCCAAATATTATACATCTTATGTATTTTCTGTTTGACCAAAGTCAACAATAAATGACAAAATGGCCGCACGTGCAGAGTTGCCACGCTTTTATTCTCTATGTACTCTCTGTCATCATCTTTCCCTGTTTCCCGGTTTCGTGTTTAATTTAGGCCAGAACAGCAAATGTCCTGGCCGGGTGATTGATGAGACTGCGTACCCGCAGAAAATACAAAAACAAACAAAAATGTAACGATAAACAAAAATTCACTTGTTAGCGGTAAACCCAAAAACGTTTACTTTCCATTTGCCGCGGATTCTTGGGGAAAGTCTGCCCAAGTCTGTGAAAATCTCTGAGGAGCAAGTTAATAAATTGTTTGCTGTATTTGTTGCATTTAGCGCCTACACAATATTCGCTTTTCCAAACTTTCTAATGAAGTCGCCGTGGGAGAAACCTTTATCAGGTTTCCTCTACTGGCTTAAGTACAGTGATGCTAATGTTAATATTTTTGAGTTTTAAGATCGTATAAATATTGATAAGTCGATAAATTTTTTACAATTGCAACAGAAAAAACTCTTTTTACCAATATATGATTTAAGATATTATTAATTTAATATTTTATTTAGTATAACATAAAAACAATCCCTTACATTTTGGCTCAAATTTAAATATTTATTATTCAATTCTTAGTTAAAGACCCTAAAACATTTCTTTGATGTTTTTTTTTTAAAGTTATACTGTGTCTTACAGGCTGAGTTCTTCATCAGGCTTTCTCTGCTTTCTCTCAATTTCATTTTGGTTCTGCATGCAAGGCACGCAAATTTGTTGCCAATAAGCAGGCGAAAACAATTTTTATAAGACTTGGCTGGGAAGATGACTGGATTGCCATAGGGGATGTCCTTTTTCCTGTGCGTGCTGCGTGCGCTTCTGGCCTGCTTTTTCGACTCCTTCTCCTCCAACTTCCTTTTCTTTCCATTCTTTTTTCATATTTTTTGGGGAAGTGGTTCTGAGGGCAAGAGACCCTGGAGTTGCTTAGCTACTTCGGCCCCGGATCCAAAATGTAGGTCATGTAGGCGGGAGCGCAGCAGCGGATAAAGTGAGAAAGAGAGAGAGAGAGAGTAAGACTAGGAGAGTCATACTCACACACTGCCAAAATTCATTATATATACACAGAAAGCCAAAGGAGTTGTGGGGACAGAGAGAGATAGATGCAGAGAAAGAGAGAGGGGAAAGCAACACTGTTTCCCCATGAATTCTTTAGCATGGGGCTGGAAGTGGGCGTGGCATGGCCAGGACATGTGCTTTATTATAATAAAAATTTCATTAGAAAATTGAATGTTGACGTGTCGCATGTGCCACACTTCCTGTTTCCCGTTCTACGCTTTTTCCGCACATCATACCATAAATTTTGGATTAATTTATGGCATTTAATGCGACTAAGATTAATATACAAGGTTTTTAGGGAATTTTCTGAAAATTTACCATCAGTGGGTACAATAAACTTTTCAAAGGCCAGCTAATCAAATGACCACTAACTTTTCCACTCAACTCCCGCCGTCTGACAGCGGTCACACAGTGCGTATACGCGATGTGCGGGCCAAAAGGACCGCCATCAGTCCGGCAATCCCTGCCCCCAATCATCCTAGACAAATGAGGGTCCTTGTCAATATGAGTAATAGCTCATCAAAGTTTCATTTTCATCCTTTTTTTTTGTCATCCTTCCGATGCTTTGTTGCCTTTTCTCGTGCATGCAAATCATGCAGAGGAGCGCCAAGAAAATAAAATGAAATTGGTAACTTTCGACAAACCATTTAACCCGAAACTGAAAGTATGACAAGACAAAGTTTTATTTATGGCCAGAACGTGGATCGGGCGAAGCCCGAAAGGCACAAATGGTCTTGTAATACATTTAGTTAGTATATGCAAGCGAATATCCATAAGTATGTGTATTTTTGGTTGTTTTTGGGTGTTTTTTTCCTGTTTTTCTGTCACTCCCCTACGTAAAAGCAAAATGAAAGTTGTGACACATGCAATAATTTGATTTTGCTCGCAAATAAATCGTAAAGAGCGAACAGAATCGACCAAGTGCAAACAGCTGAAAATAAGTTTGTTTGGGGCCTGCTTTCGTTTTCATTTTCAATTTTCAACTTTTCCGGAGAAACACAGAGGAGAGTAACAAAATGAGGACCTGTTTTTGTTCCTCCACCTTGTCGTGCTTGTTGTGGGCGTAATGAGACAAAGGCCACCTCAAGCCGCCATGGAGCATGTTTTATCGATAATTCGTGAGTGCGACGCAGAAAGGACCTCCCCATCCTCCCCACTCGGCAACTTCTTCAACCTATCCCTTCGGTTGGTATAACAAACAAATGTTTTGTATGTGTCAGGCGCCGGTTTCCCTTATTTTCCTTTTTTTCCCTTTTTATTATTATTATTTTCTATTGTTTTTTTTTTGTTATCCTAAAATCGGTTTTTGCGGACGCGCTACTGACACGAAACTTCAGAAGAGAACACATACATATAGACCTCTAGATGGGATTCTTTTTTGGGAAGGTATTGACAGGAAATTGGAACCGGTGCTCCCCATACTATTCCCATAGCTTTGATGATTTGGGAGACGGGTGTCATGTTCGTGTCGCATGTATATTGCGCGCCAGAGGGACATGTGCCCCATAATCGTCCCATAAAGCTAAAAATAATATGAAATTTATTGCTGTAAATGACAAAACTAAATTTACATACGGCCTGTGTCTATGAACGTGATTTATTTGTTTATCGAAGAAGGGATTCAAACAATCGATTGATTGGCATTAAGTGGGCTATTAACTCAAAGGCTGACTCATGGACAAAAAAAAGCAAAAAGGAACCTGTGAATTGTCCTCAAAAGTATGCAATGAAATGTTAATTAATTAAAATTCTTTGCTTCTGAGGTTGAGTTCTGCCATAAGTTACCAAATTATTATTCAATTAGCGTGACAAACAAGTCGCATACATAATGCAGCAAAAGTGTTGGCCAAGAAGTGCAGGCCCCAAGACATGCAACCAAGAAACGGTCTTAAGCTTATTAATGGCAAATAAAGAGAATGGCCAAGAAGGGAAAACTGTGGGGAGCAACGTCGGGAGAAACAGCGGAAAATGTCAGCGCTGTGTCATCAGAAAGCGCATTAAACGGGCTTGGGATCTGCTTGGAAAACAAAGCAGGGAAAAAGTTAAATGAAAATGGAAAATAATTAGCCAACAACTGCAGTGGCAGTGGCGGCTGAGAGGAGGAGAGTGCAGAGCGAAGGTCTTTGCTCGGCTGGCTATAATTATATTAAAAATAAACTTTTTATATTTCATTTATTTTTATTGTTATGGGGCAGCCACTGAATGCTGACCTTGGGTCGACAAAAAAAAAGAGAAATGCATCAGTAGCAGCAACAAATACCGATAAGCATGCCATGCAATCCATTCGTATGGCATGCAATCCATTTAAAATGTCCAAACTAATGAAAGTGCGGGGCAGTTTCGTCCTAACATTATTTTTTATTTTTGTATTTTTTATTTGACTTGGCTCAAACATTATTCAGCCATGCATAGTTTTGGGCGGACAGGATTTATGGTAGGGCTTACGGACATGCAATATGCAATTTATAAGATTGTGTTCGGAGTTTTCCTTTCAAAGGATTTTCGGTACATTTTTCCATTAAATGGGTAAGCTAGGCCCTACAAGTTCTACTTTTGTAGAGTTTCAGTTTAAAAGAAAACATAACCAAGAACAGGTCCTTGAAAAAAACGCCGACTAAATCCTTTAGAACGTAACCGGAGCTTAAGCTCCAATTTATCGCAAGAAAAATGGAAAAGAAAGGGGCAGAGTGAGGTCAAAGGGCGGGCTCGACCTAGGGTTGCAAAGGTGCGATAAAAACGGCAAAAAACAAACACATGCAACTAAACAACAAATAAAAAAAACCAAAAGCTCCTTGTCAGTCACGACTTTGAAATACACTTTTCAGAATTATTTGCATGCCTTTTTATTGCAGAGCCAACAAATGGTATTAATAAGGTGGCGTACCTTATTTTTTTGCAGTGTTGTGTTTTTTTATTGGGGCGTAACTCACACATACATTTGGAGGCGGAACCTTTACAGTTTTATGTGGAAATGCAGCGAAATGAGCCCATGACATGACATGCCGACGCAACGCTGACATGGTAATGCGAGGAGCTTAAGTGGATAAGGGGGAGGTGGGGTGGTAAGGAACAGACACTGATAGAAAATAGGGAGATTTTTAGACAAGCTAAAGTTCAAGTAAATGTAAGGCTAGTACTTTCAATGCTGGAAATTTTTAGATTACTCTTAAAGCTAAATAAATAAAAAAAAAAAATTATTATATAAAAAGTGTAAGTTTTTCATATTTACATTTTTTTCTTTCAGTGATCTAGAAACCTGGGGGACTAGAGCCTTGCATGATGAACGAATAGACAGGAGACTGATGGCTCTGACGCACTGGAGAGAGGGAAAGAAAGTGGGGAGGGTCGGTTGGAAATACAAAAACAAAAATAAAGTCAGAGAAAGTGGCAGGCAGTGCGATAACTTTTCTACTTACAAATACTAACAATTTTTCTTACACCTCCTCGCACTCGGCACTTTTGTAATTGTACTTCTCATATGTTCCTGGGGTTGGGGTAATTATATAACGTGTTTTTTTTCGGCAAGTTCATGAAATTTGTATACCAAGGACAAGGTAATTAAAAATTTTCGTCAAATAATATCAATGTAGTGGGGCAGGGGCTTGTCAGCTGTATGATATCATCAAGTTCATGGTTAAACAATTAATTTTTGGTATTTAGTGGTATTTATGCATTAGTTGATTAGTTGAGGTCTGTCACCTGTCTGTTTGGGCGAGCAAACATTTGCTTTGGCTTTTTCCAACCAAAGATTTTGGCAAACAAGGCCCGAAAGCCAGAGTGAAACTCGTTTTTGGCCCAGTTAATGTTCTCAGCTATTTCACTTTCAGTTTAATTAAATATTTGCAATACCAAAACTGCTCAATTATAAAATCGGAGCGATTCATTTGACCCAAGGCAGTTACCATTGAACGCTTCCAGCGAACCAAGTGTCATTATGAAAGTCCTGGCTCTGATTGTGTCCTGCCTACTGATCCTTAATCTGGGCTCCCAGCTGGAGGCCAGACTGCTCCTGACCAACGGCAATGGCTTCTATTGTCTCTGGACCACAAAAAGGACATGCTCCAAAACCACTCCGGCTTGCGTTCGAATCGCAACGGACGCAGCTGCCACAACATTCTCGTGTAAATATTACAAGAGTCAGTGTCAGTTTCTGCTGGACACTTGCAAAGGCACCTCAAGTGAGTTTTAATAATTTGGAAATGCAATTTTCATCAAAGGTAGTTTTAATTAATAATTTCTTATGTTATATTTCAGTTTATGGCTTTGGCGACTCAGTTGATGCTCAAACGTATTGTACAGGAAAAAGTATAACTATTGGAAGCACTGGAGTCTGCACCTAAAACATTTTTTTTAAAACACTTTACATGTCACTTCTTATTACTATTCCAAACTATTTAAATAATTTCTTAATATAATTAATCTAAATTAATCGACTTACTATGACGGTTTATTATTTTAATAAAGTTATTATCTTATTGAAACCCCTTTCATTTCAACGGAACTTAAAAATAAAAACTAATGGAATCTAGACGCTGATCAAATACATTTATGATTCATTTTAACGAGTTTGAGAGATTTTGCAACTCGTTTGGGTTTTTATGGCTCTCACAGATACACAGATGAGTCTCTGTGTGTGTTGGCCAAGTTGCGTCTTCTATTTTTTTCTACTATTTGGTTCTTTTAATTGCATTGGCATAAATCGCGAACGAGTAGGGGAGAAAGTGAGTAATCTGGGGAAAAATTATGGTTATGGCCACATACACACACTCTAACACACACACACACACAATCATGCACGCGGACAATGTATATTTATGGAGCTTCGCTTTTTAGTTTGCAATTTTCGGCCATTTTTCTTTTTTGGCTTCTATTTTTTGCGGAAATGGCGAACGCCTGCGGATGCAATTAGAATGGCTCACACAGGGCACTACACTTACACTCACACATTCATTTTTATGGCTTAAATATAGGTCATTGCAAAACATTTTGGCAACGAAAGTGAACATTTTTTGCATAATTTTGGAATAAATCTCATTATTAATAATGAAAATTCTCTAATTTGTCCAGGAATTTGTAGCCATAATATGCGAATGCGGTGTATTGAAATCGTATTGATAAATTACTTTTTGTTCATTGATGGCTAAGATCGATAAAGAACTACCTTTTTATGCTTTAATCTATTTTAGAGATTTAAAAAAATAAATGAAACAAACATAAAAAATTTTAAAAGCTTGATTTTTATATATTTTTGAATGGTTAACCCCTTCTTATAATTATGGGAATCACATTCGACGAGGATGAGGTTGAGGATGTGCCCAGAATGGAGGACAATATGTTGGACCATCCAGAACCGGAGGATGAGCTCGACGATGAGAATGTGCTGGTACAGGTTCCAGAACTATTCACCGAAATACTAGAGCAGTTGCCAATATTGACTCTATTCCAGCCTAAAGACGTACAAAATAATATGATCCTTAGCATTAAAAATGTGTAGATTGTTTTTGAAACTTACTAGATCCACTTGCATTGCAATTGGTTCTTTCCAGCTGACAATTGTTCCTGAATCGATGGCATCTTCGGGTGGAAGCCCACCTGCCGCAGACATTGGTGTTGGCATTACAGGTGGTGGTCACACAGCGGGCGGCGGGAGTGGAGCTGCTGCTGGAAGTGGTGCTTCCACTCCCAATTACGACTGCCGATCGCCGGCGGGAATTTCCAGAGGATCGTCGACTTTGAAGGGATCTCTTTTTCGTATTTCCAGTTCGAGTTTTTACTTGACGATTCGCCTTTCTGGTCCGCATTTTTCGGGGCGTGGCATTGGCCAAAACTCTGGCTTTCGATGTTCTTTTATTTTTTTGAGCCTCCGTGGCCACAACAACCAAAGCCACCAAAACCAGTAGTGCCACCCCCCAGCGCATTTCGTCTACAAATATTATGAAACCTACTGCGTTCTGCGATTTTTATACTTTCCCGAGGCCTTCAAGAGTGTTTACAAAACCATTTCGTCGCTCAGTCATATGCACAATAAAACATATTTAAATTATAAATTTAGAGACTATGTAGTTTTTTGACCAATTGTGTAAATATTTCGCATTTCATCTCTTAAAACAAAATAAATATATGCTTAAGATTGCTTTCCGTGTGGGGATTGGATTTTTTTTTGGCAAAAAGATTTTGAAGGTTCTAAATCATACTTTGAGGCTTTTTGTTAATATTCTTATGACACTTTTGTATTGATTTTTTTTTTGTGAATTTTAGCCCACTAAAATGAGTAAACTATAGTTTATTCTAAAATGCCCTGAAAGTATATTTAAGAATACTTCCCTTTTGGGGATATCTTTCTCCATATCTTCTCCATAAAATATAAAGTTCAATCTATTCGATCTTTTTAAAGAAATTTAAAGTTTTTAATAAACAGTTTTAAGTTTCCTTGGCTGGTTACAGATTTGTTGGTTACAGATTTGGAACCACTGCCACAAGGTCTAGGAGTATTTTTTGGTAGGCCTCGGCAGAGATTAGAATGCACTTTGCGGTAAACTAAAAATCAAATACATATATTATTAAAATAAATTTAAAAAATCAACACAAAAACCCACACTTTGTTGAGGCGGCACTACCGCAATTATTCATCTGACGCTGACAATCGTTCTCAAAGGAAGTACAGATGTTGGCCTTTCCGAGGCGGCCACAGGACTTGGTGGAAGACGTACAATTTTTTTGAATCTTGCGCCTACAACTTTGGGATCTGCGGGATCTAGTGTTAGTGTTTTTTACGCTATTACTTCTGACTGAGTAATCGAACCCCTCATCGTTCTCAAGGCTGTTTTGGGATGAAACCGTAACGACAAAAATCACAACCAGGAGTCCACTCACGATCAATGATGCTTTCATTCTTCTAAATATTTAACTTCAACTTAATACATGAAATGATTACTGGGTTTGGGGCCTTTTATACCAGCCTATCGGTATTTATTTTGCCAAAAAAAACGGAAAACAATTTGCTCTACTTTAAAACAGTATTATGCGAATTATCACCTGTGCTAATATAAATAATTATATTAGATATAATCTTCTTTAAATTTTGGGTCTCTAACCTTGAGTGGTTCAATAGCACTATTTATTTATATTTAGAAAACAAAAATCAGCTTTTAAGTTGGACAATGGGATAAAAATTGGTGTTTAAGTAATTACTTTTTTTTTTGCTTTATATTAAAGGTAAATAAGTGGAATAACAAGCCAAGGTTGTTTTCATTTTTCAAGATTCATAGTTTTTAAAACTTTAACAGATTAAATTTGTATTTTAACATTTAGTAATTTTAATACTAATAACATTTAGAATCAACCGCGACGTATAATAATTGGCACCACGTTTGACGATGATGAGGACGAGGACGACGAGGATCCACCGCAGGTTCCACGTGCTCCCACACTGATTCCCGAGCACTGGGACAAGCTGACCGCGGTGTATGAGGTAGAGCCCACACAGGACTCGTAACGCATCCTGCAGCTGTTCTTAAAGCGGGTGCATAGGTTCGATTTTCCGTATTTGCCACAGCTGTTTGTGGTTGAGCTCCAGTTGCAGTTATCGAGCAGACAGACCTTAGGTGAGCTGCTGGAAGACGAGGATGATGAAGAATAGGCACAGGCCAGGGCCAGGATCATCAGGAGTGTCGCCAAACTTAGAGCACTTTTCATCTTTGCTTTTTTGATTTGTGGGCTTTGACTGTGAAATTTCTGTGTTACCGGAACTATTTATAGTTGCTGGGTTGGATGAAATAAAATTAAAACAAGAACTTATAGCACTTGTCTAAATAGAAAGAATGAGATGGAAAAAAGTGGTTTGGCATTGGAAGATGACCTAAGAATGTGCAATACCTTGGCTAATTACTCTTGAAAACATAAGCATTTCGGCAACATAAGGCTGCTTTTGTTTATTTAACAGTTTTTAAAACGTGTGTAGAAATATTGGTGGTATGCGTTTTTTTTAATACTAAGATAGTGTACTAAGATAGTATTACTAATATACATACGTGTATAAGTATATTAACTAGTTCTTTGGCTACTAGTCTTTGGTTATGTTTGTTTATTTAAACAAAATTGTATGACTTTCATAGTGTTTCTTACATAACTTAGTTTTTATTGAACTACTTTCATAACTTAGGGATCGTTCAACTAGTCGTATACGCATTTTTTTCATGTAATCTACATCTACAGTGTAAAGTATTCTATAAAACTTTTTACACAGCCTAAAACTATGTGAAGTATTTTCTTAACTGCTATATAGAAAACCGAATCTTTTAAATTTATTTTATTTAATCTATAAATCTAGATTAAATTTCTTAAACTTTTTGATTATATTTCTTGTTCAATCTCTATTGTATTAAATCTAATTAGCCTTATTCTTGGCCACATAATCTGGCTTAAACAAACTGTCAATTAGGTGCAATTACTAGGCCCAGAACTGGAAACAAAGCTTGAACAAAATGCGTAATCCCCTTGCCCACAACCAGTGCAGTGCGTAGAGAGCGAAAACAACAATAAAAAACAAACAAAAGCCAATTGAAAATCAAGCAGAAAAAAACTCGAAATAAAAGCAAAACAATCAGCTCACTTGTGCACTTGGTATTTTGATACTGTTTGCAGCCGAGTGATTTGTTTTCGTTTGTTTATTTATTCCATAAACGTATTTTTATTAAATGCCATCCACCAAGGCCAAAAATCAGTTTCATTAATTGGCTTTAAACTGATTGAAGCCTACTTCTTAGAGCAATCAGCTAAATATTTTTGAAAACAGAAATCGTTTAGTTTGGACAATTTTCTCAGAGGCATAATAATGCAAATTTATGCATTATTTTGTGAACAATTTTTGGTGTGCGTGTCGTGCGGTGTTTATAATATGGCCTCAGGCTATGGGTTAAAAACCAAGCCATGCCAAGACGGGCCAGACATGCATTTGGGCCAGCAATTAGTGGCCCATTGAATCGATAACTTGTCTAAGCCATCATATCGCACAATTCTGCTTGCTTGCCCAACTATGTCAACTGAAAATAATTGCAAATGTTCGATTGCCAGAGTGTGGGTTGAATTTTCTCTAAACCGTAACACTTTCTATTGATTTGATGTGAGTTCAGCGTATGAATGGTGACTTAAATGGGATATAATTGAATGATCACTCAATCAAGCAAAAATATGACAAATGAGTGTCTTTTCATCAAGATTTAATTTGAGTTTTTAATTAAAGAATGAGAATCTATATTGATTTTTATTCATAATCTTTTAAAAATACTCGCCCCTAAAAACAAGGTCTTAACTAAAGCTATCCATTACCCATTGGCTTAGTTATGGATTACATTTTAATTAAGTTCATATCATAAATGGATCTCTCTGGAAAAAAAATCTCCATAATTGCATTTTGAGATATATTTTCTCATCAGTGTGCATTTTCCTGCCTGGGCGTCTTGATTATGCCGGGAATTTTTAATGGAACAGCATCCCAATCCCATCAATCAATTCGTCAGACTCAATTAGGCTTCCGACTCTAAACAAAAGATCGATTATATAATGCACCGACCAGTGGCATCTCGAATGGGTTTTTATTAATCAACCATTCAGCCGGTGGCAGTGAAAATTGATGAACCCCAAACTAAATTCCAGAAATGTAAAATAAAAACAAAAATTGAAAAAAAGCTCACAATAAAAGCTAAAGAAGGAGACGAAATGAACAGAGGGAGAGATAGAGGGAGATGGCGGTCTGAAGATGCCACTTGAAGCTGCGGCCAACGGGTTTGGTTTTGCTTTTTGTCGCATTGCAGGAAGTTGCAAGTTGTCAGCGGGTTGGCCGCATTTGGCAATGCCCAGTACCAGGGGATTAGAAAGGGTATTTTAAGGGTATGTTCAATCTTTGTTCAGTAGCTAAAAAATTAAAAAATTTAAAGAGAAGAAAGTATTTTCTGAAAATGTGTTCTCTCCAAGTTTTTTATTAAGTTTTTCCTATAATAATAACAGTATTACTCAAATAGAATTTCGTTAAAATTTAAGTATTATTATAAAGTATTATTATAAAGATTTTATGTAAGTATTATTATAAAGTATTATTATTAAGTAGTTTAGTACTTATTGATTAATTAAAGGTACTATTTTCTATAAATAGTTGGTCAAGCACAAAATAAAGTCTTTTTTAAGATTTGTAAAACAACAATGAAAAAATACTATATGAATGAAAAACTTTAATGGATTTCAAGCCTATATTTTGAAGGTAGATTTAGTCTTCTTAGTAAAAATTGCATTAAATGATACAAAATTCCCAAGAAAATAAATGTTTAATTTTTACTATTTTGTTTCAAATCAATGGGTGTCGAAATAGTCTGCACTCTGATAGATAGGTTTTACCAAAAGTCAAAAATGGCCTTAAAGAGATCTTTATTTGATTGCTGGCGCTGCAATCAAAATTATTTAATTCGGATGCGGCAAATGAATTTGTAGCCAGCTAGTGGCAGTTGCCAGTTGCAGTTTGCAATTCGAAAATTCGCAATTCGCGTGATGCTGGCAATGCGGCATGCGGCAATGCAATCAGCGTTGGCTGCGCCCCCGTTTAACTGTAAAACGGAAAGCAACAAAATCAGCTGAAAGACAACAACAAACTTTCACTTTCAAGCGTCTTGTTGCTTTTTACTCTTTTGGGCAGGTCAGTTTTCAGTTTTTAGTTTTCAGTTTCATTTTCAGGTTTCAGTTTTGAGCTTCAGTCTCTCGGCCAGGCTAGTTTCAGTTGCATTTTGGCCGGCATATTATAGCCAAGAGGCGATGGTTGAGTGCATTTTCGATTTGGCCTCCTGTAATCAGTGGGCTTTTGTTTTTGTCTAAGAAAATGTTGTAATATAATTTTAATTTGTACCCAGAAATGATTGCCAATTCCCACCGCCTAATGTTGATTATACAATGTTTTCTTTCTCCCAATACCCCTGCCCCTAGACCCGAAACGAAAGTGTTTCAAACGTTTTAGCCAGGCTAATACTTAGCTAACAGATTCGAAACACACAATTTGTGTAATTATTTTTCTTCGTGTCTAGGCGTTTTCTTGTTTTATTATTTTTGGGGGAGGGAGAGATCTGATTGACCCGAGGCGGATCGGTGAGCATTTGGGCATTTAGTTAGCCCAAAAGCGATTGAAGGTCTAAGGTCTTTGGTAGCCATTAAAGCCGGACTTGTTGATAGCCAACAGCCAAACAACCAACAGCCATGTTTGTAGACTGGGCCCTGAGGAAATCCAAAATAAATATTCAAAGGAAAACCGAAAAAAACCGAAAAGCGAAGCGCGCGCATGCGTGAGGTCGTCGCACTTAAATGTCAAATGGTTCAGTGCTCTAATGAAAGCCTCCGAGCAAATCCCCTGCCCATATTAGCTACCAACAAAAATATATACATAATATAAAGCATAGACCCCCTGTCGAAGATTGGTCAATTCGATCTGGTGAACGGTTGGCCAAATCTGACCGCCTATTGCCACGGTTTGTCGCAATCGTGTGGCAAGAAGAATGACCATAGACGATTTATCCGTCTGTCCAGTTAATACAACTCACTCCCAGATAGGCGAAGACGCAGAGAATTTGTTGTGGTAATTAATGCCATTTGTTGTTGTTGTTTTTAATTCGATACTCTAGGAGAGGTCTTAAAAGTTTTCCTAGAGATTTTAAAATATATTTGGTACTATTTTGACTTGGAGTTTTTTTTTATATTTTTTCTCAAAAATAATTGGCAATTTAAGATAAGATAGATTTGAGATAATTCTAAATATTAAAAACTTTTGCATACATTTTTTTTAAATAAATCTATATTTTCGTAAAAATAATTTCTGAAAGTTCTTATCCCAGCCAGTGTATAAAAACTTCGTATTCCTCTTTGAAAATAGTATTTCTTTTTATTTTTTTTGGCTAGTAATTAAGCTTATGGCTTATTTAGGGGCACAGGTGTAACATACATTGGCGCAGGCGTGGCCAATAGCACCTGCTCTATGCAACATGTTCGGAATCGAACTTGCATGCCACTGGTTCGACCTTTCCGACCAAATAATTGAAAAATAAGCTTTTTGTTGGTGTCTTGCATGCAAATTAAGCTATTGTTGCTTTTGTCTTGATATTCTTCTACTTTTTTATATATTTTTTGTCTTGTTTATTATGTTTTCCCTTTAACAGCCTCGTCTGGCTGCCAAATTTGTGAGCTTAACGGTGATTGTTGCTGTTTTGGCCATGTTTGGACATGGTAGCCTCTAAATGCCACAAGAACCCGGTGTTTGGACGTGTCCAGTTTGCTAATTGCCCCCAAAATATCATTGGCACTTATGTCGTTTGTAGGCCACAATTATAGTGATTGCAAAATTTTATGCCGACAAAAGGAATTTCAAGTGGAAATAAATAAATTCAATAAATATAAATCAAGAAGTTGTAGGGAATTTTAAAGTCGAACCAAAGCCATAATAACAGACTTTTTGCAAAATCAAGATATCATTCTTTAGCTAAACACCTTGCCCTCATAAAAACCGAAAGTAAATCTAAATAAGTTCGTTTTATGTGCCTTTTTATGACCAATTATTTGGCTTGACAAATTGTTTCCCCACAAATTCGGTATCCGCCTCAACAATTCTCCATAAGCTCGAAATAACAATATATTTAAAATTCCGCTCTTAAGTGCTAATCAAAGCA